CATCCATCCATCCATCCATCCATCCATCCATCCATCCATCCATCCATCCATCCATCCATCCATCCATCCATCCATCCATCCATCCATCCAATGTTTCCTTCTTTGGAAACTGAAAAGAAAAGTCCAATCATTTCTTTAAGATGCCTTTTAAATCAATAGAACTTCATGATGCCCAGAATAGAAATAGACTGGGCCTTCAGGCAGGATTAACTGAAGCCAGTAGTTAACGGGGGACACCCTGAGGGAGAGTCAGATTGGTGTGGCATGTCATTGAGTATTGGTGCTTCTCCCTGTTTCTAGGTGGTGTCAGGTAATGAGAACACCTATGATATTGTGCTGAAAGACCTCGGCCCTCCAATTGTTGCCCGTATGGTCCGGTTTTACCCCCTGGCTGACCGGGTGATGAGTGTTTGCCTTCGGGTGGAGCTCTACGGTTGTGTGTGGAATGGTAAGTATGTGCATGTGGGAGACATAAGGAGAGCACATAGACACACAAACTATTTGCTTTTCTTATCATTCTGGACAGTGTATTTGAGGCATGGCTGCTAGATGTAGATAAGTTTATGTTGAAGGTGACTGGGTTTTCCCTCGCCTTAGATTTAATTTCATATCAGATGGTAATGATTACAAAGACGTGTTTTTGTCTCCTCTGAGGGATTCGCCCAGAGAAAAGAAGCCACAGTCTGATAAATGATGTTGGTTTTACTGAAGCACAACACTGAGTATTTATGACTGGTTCATCTTCTTTCCTGCCCCATCCACCTCCCAGAGACAAAACGGGGTGCTCTGTAAATCATAGTTGTCTGTGAATCGAAGAGACCCAGTTCCTGCTCTGTGCCTTCTGGGAGAGCATCTCTATAAAAAAAAAAGAAATGTTCCACAGTGGTCTCAGGGGTGCAGCAACTTGGTTCAACCTCAGGCCACAGATTATGCAGAATCTAATGAATACCAGCCTTTTTTCCATCCATTCTTATGTAATCACATATCCGAGTATACAGAGGTGGCTGCTCCTTCTTGTGTTCCTTTAACATTCAGAGAGACACTGTCTTACCCTAAGGCAGTCATCCGTGTGCTAGAGTGCAAATACCCTGTGAGGAGTTATTATCAACAATACCAGTTTCAGTATCACTCCCGCTGTCCAGCTGTTGGTTACAATGGAGAGGTTAGATGGGTTAATGAATTGCAGTGATGAACAGACCTAAGATGAAGAGCTCTACTCCCATTTTCCTGACTAAGAACCATCTGTTGCTATTTCATGGACACATTTAAAAACACACTGAGTCAAAACATTAGGACCACTGATAGGTGGCTATAATGTGTTTTTAACATTACGTTTTTCTGTCTGCAAAGTTGAAATTTTAATATCAAAGATGAGGATTTGAGTTTGACAGGAAGAGCCTGTGAACTGAAGCTTTCCTTGTCTATCATTATTAGGGCTGAAAGAAAAACATATGTGCAACAATTTTGATAAAGGTCATTATGACAGAAAACAATTCTGAAAAAAGTCTTAAAAAAGGTCATTCATAGTGTTTATTTTAAAGGTATATTCCAGGGATCATATAAATAATAGGTCATATAAATAAGATCATATGAATAAGAGGTCATCATACATTCTGGTCCCCATTTTCACTTACCGGTGGTGAGTCTGACATAGTGGAAAAATTGCAAATCTTCTTTTGGAAAATAAGCTTGTATGAGCGATGCAAGCAACAACTTTTAAACAGAGCGTGCACAAGGAGAAATGGGCTTGTGGATGTTCTCGCACGCGCTTAATAGGCGTTCCTCTTGGGAGCGGATACAAGGTCGGGCATGTGCATTTTTTTTTAAATTGGAGAGGGCTGTTTTTTTTTTTTATGTGTGAGTACATGGTATCAAAACTCTTTGAACAGCTGAAGAATCTTGACCATTTGTGTCAGCTCTTGCTCTCGGTGTTCTTCAACTGCTGTCGGGGCCAAACCAAATTACTCTGAATGACACATGAATGATGCAAAAAGTTCACTGCATCATTTATATGGAGGTCAGTGATCCAGAGGTGGTGATAAATATGAATTATATTGTACAACTACTGTCATTATTTTTCAAGAGTGGCCTAGAGGAGAATCAGAGGTGACCAGGGATAGAATTAAGTCTTATTGATGCATGTTGGGAGTGAAGGCTGACCTCCGTTGTTCGATCCAACAGAGGAGCTGCTGTTGCTCAAACTGATAATAATACTGGCATTGAAAGAAATGTCTCAGCTTTAGAATACATGTATGTAATAGTTAAGTAAATAACAGGACTCTGTCAAATTGGACTGCAGACTGATGAAGTCATTCAGACATTTTGTTTAAATTTTGAACAAGGGACACATAAGAAAGTCACATGACAGAAGGAATGGGTTCGACACCATTTAATAAAAAGAAAGAAAAAAATAATTTATTGTAAGAAAGCAAATGTTAAACGTTAATCAGATAAAAAGCAGATTTTTTGCATTTACAATTTCCCAAGAAGAAAACACAACATAAAAGCACTCAAATGACCATGTTTAATACGCTTTTCCACCCCTCACACTAACCACTGATGACCACCTGCCCTGATTGGTGCAATTATGTCAACTTTTGCACAAAAAAAGTGTTTAATTCTAGTAACAGCGTGCATTTGAATACATTGGAAGCCAAAATGTTTTAGCTTACAGCAAATTTAGTTAAATGCTGGAACTGTAGCACTTAACAGGCTGTTACTGTATAGAAAATAAAAGCAAGATATGAGAGGTAGTATGTTTTGTCTGAGAAAGAAAGCAACAAGAAACATTTTTTCCTTAAAAAAAATTTGTTCCGTAACGTGTAGTTTGGTTTCTCCAGATGGACTGAACGCCTACACGGCTCCAGTGGGTCACGTCATGAACTTACCTGGCCTCCCGGTCTATCTAAACGACTCTACCTATGATGGGAGCACCGAACAGGGGTAAGACACTCTGCTGCACCTCTTGTCTGTCTAAACATTTAACTACTAGTAGAAGGTAACTCGCCTTCATAAACTCACACAGATTGAACTTTTATGGAAATGTTCAGATGGGGCCAAAATATAATAAACTGTGAAAGAAAATGTAATATGCCTGGTGCTTATCATATCTGCTCAACCTGAAAGGTGTTTTGTTTTTTCTCCACCTAATCTAGAGATGTCATTATTTTCCTTTGTCGCCCTGAGATTTGAGGCGTGTTTCCAGACCATAATGTTTGGCAGTGGGCAATGAAGGGTAACCCAGGAATTTCGGGTTGGTTGAGGGGTCCACATTCTTACAGGCAATGCAGTTAATGGGGCTGAAATGTTTTGCTAACGAGAGAGCAGCCACTTCTGATGTAATCCAGACGTTTTCTTTTCAGATTTTGGCGCAAAGGCTCATATACTGTGGGGAGATGAGGTCTGATTGTTGGGATTGAGCAGCTGGGATGTGTTTCTGCCATTAATGTGTTTTTGCATGTTTATCTTTAAGTTTTGCTCCTTTTATTTGCCTCTTGCTGTTTCATCTAATGAAAATGATGCGATGTTTGCTCAGGATGCAGTTTGGAGGCCTTGGCCAGCTTTGTGATGGCGTCCTAGGAGGAGATGACTTTATAGAAACTACTGAGCTGCGGGTGTGGCCAGGGTACGATTACCTTGGATGGAGTCGGGAAGCCCTTGGGCAAGGCAGTGTGGACATTGAGTTCCACTTTGAGAAGCCCAGGTTCTTCAACAGCATGCAGGTGAGGACGGACACATTTTAATTTTGAATACATTACCATCGGGTCTATTTGTATAGACAGAAACTTTTGCTATCAGAAACTTTGAGTTTTTCAGGATAATTTAAAATTAAATGCGCTGGTATGAAAATGAATTTAACTTGATTCAAAATTAATAATCTATTTGGTTTTATTGAAAGTTAAGTTGGAATAGTTTTACTTTGTTGTAATATTCAATTTTGGTCTGAAAAATAATTTGCTGTGTTTGATTTAGCTTTGAATTGGATTAAAATCAATAATTCCTAATGATGGGTTCAACAGAAAAAATAAATGCCTTCCAGCCTGGTTTGCACATACTCTAAAATCAATACCTTTCCATTTTGAAAAATAATAATGCAGAGACTTTCAGTAGTTTTGAATCACATTTTCCTTATGTATGCACCAAACACGTGTTCCAAACCTAGCTACCTCATCTACCTTCAAAGTGCATCAATGTTTGCTGGTGTTTTAGAGCTAAAGGACTATGGAAATTCTTAGTTTTGCTGCATTTAAAAAATTGTAATAAAAAGTCAGATTTCTTTGATTTTTGACCCGTTATCGCTAATGAGAAACTTGAAGATCCTATTATCCATCTCCAATCACTGGCCAAATGGTCCAGGCTACTACATGAGGAGAACTACCACGGACTATTAAAGTGATTATATAAACTGAAGTCATTAGTTCAAAAACAAAAACACCAGATGACTAATGGAAGGCTTGTCTTTCCTCTTCTAATGAAGTTTTTTACTTTCTAGTGTACCGGTAACTCCAATTTACATCAGCTTTTCTGACATGTAATTTTTCCGTTATATAGTTCAATGATATATTTTAGGTTGTATGTACTATCATTAGTAAATATTAAAAACTAAAGTTTCAAATTATGATGTGAATGTAAAAGTTGCTTGGTGTTAAATGATTCTCTAGATCATGGTTGAGATATCCTTGAGATTCCCATATTCCAGCTTCATTGTAATGTGTTTAGCTTTGTTAATCTGCCACCAGCTTCATATTGACTGAAATAGCTCTGTGGCCGTTTAATTAGTTTGAATGCACCATTGTTTCTGGCAGGACAGTGCATCACTGCTCGTCTCTCTGGCAGCCACCGAGTTTCATCAGTCGGTTTGTGCGTCTGTGTGGCTTTTGGGGTTAGTTTTTGGAGCAACCATGGAGATAATGATATGAAGCAACCCAGTTTGAGTTATAACTGTGTTTTTGCATTAGACCGGGGTTGGAATTTCGGCTTGGGTGAAACAAATTCCTATTGTACATATTTAAAAGTGAATTTACAACCAAAAACTACTCATAAAAATCTAATTATATTCAGCGTACACTCAACAGATTTTTTATTCTTCATTTGTTAAGCATTGTTCTACTTTACCTTAGTTACAATTTAAAATATCTCCCAGCAGTATTTCTATTGTTTTTCCTAGACTTATACAGCTTTTCCTGAATTTTCCCCTGTGGTTTTCACACACTAACCTCAGCTGACATACACTGTTATGCTTGCCTGACTGAGCGGATATGTCAGGCGCACAGGTCAGATAAATAAAGACTGGGAACCTGAACCCAAATCTTGGTTGACTTGTCTCTGCTGGACAGAGTTCCCTAACCTGTTGTTAATAGCCTCCCCAAATGGGAAATCTGCTCTCTAACCCTTTGACAATCACAGCACTCTTGAGTCTGCTTTTTGTCAACTTGCAAATCAATCCTTTTTGGGAAAATTTTAAAACATTTCTGTCAGCGAATTTGAAACTAAAGAGAAAGATCAGAGATAATACTTAATAGAGACTGGATTTATGATTTAAAAAAAAAAGTAAAATAAAAAATACAAAGAGTTTCCCCAAAAAAAAAAAGAAAAAAAAAAAAACCTTTTGCAGGTCATTGTATGCTGTATTCCCTAACGGAGTAGTCATTTACTTGTTACAGTCGTACAGCCATGATACGCTGCATACACGTCATCAGAGCATCTGGTGCAGCTGGACGTCTTGCATCTTATGTGTGTGTGGGTGTTTGTGTGGGTGTGTGTGTGTGTGTGTGAGCGTTAACATGTGGATTAGATTAGCATGACCGCTCCTGCACTGTGTGAGGTTAACAGCCAGCCTGTCAAGGCAACCTCTACTCTTAACTCCTCTATCTCTAAAGAAAAATAAAATCCACCATTTTCCTTCTTGGTTTCCTCCTCTGATCTTAAGTTTTGACCTCTCACTTACTCCTTTTACCATCGACATCCTTTTCTCATCTTCTAAACTTCCTCCCTATTCTCTCAGCCTCATATATTAGGGCTTGTGAGAGATTCATTGAGTTCTGTGATTGATGTCTTCTCTACAGTTTTTTTTTTTTTTTTTTTTTGTAAAGCTGAAACGCCCATTTTAGCTAATATTCATTTCTTTTTAAGCCCAAAAATCTAGGAAGATATACAAATTGTTTGGAAAACCTGAGTAAAAACTGGAATAACCAGCGTTGGAGGGTACAGCTAACCAAAACATTTTCTCTGCTAACCCATATTCCTCTAACTAAAATATTAGCGTTGCTGCAGCTAAACTGAAGAAAAAGCCGAATCAAATTACAACTGAAAAAGGTTTTGCATTCAAAACAAAATGAGACCTTTTTTTCCTGTGTGTGTCCAAATAATTTCAAATAATGAATCTGAGTTAGCTATAGTTGTTGAAATGTCAGTATTAAAAAACACTTGCAACAAGGTTTGGAGTCTTCCACCCATTAAGGAAAGAAAAATGATAAAATGAACAAAGTAGTGTGTTGGTTTTGACTGTTTTGTGTAGGTTTTTAGAATGGTTGAAGGTGCTTTAACTGTGCTGCCTTTTTCTTCCACATAAGTGCAGGCAGGTCTTGCCCCAGTCCAAATTAAATGATTGGAAGAATTGCTTTAAATTGACATGATTGGATTATACACCTCTCAATCAAAAAAAAAAAAAAAAATCAATCCTATTGAGCTCAATGTAATCATTTCTCCTAATCCCTGTGTTTATGTGACACATCGGTCTTTATTCTAAATAATAATGTTCATGTAAACATATCTAGTGACTTTCCTTGCTGTGTTCCCCCTTGGTTATTTTGTTCATCTGTATTCCCGCTCTGTGCTTTTAATGCCAAAGCAATTATAGTTCAACAAAATGGAAATGTGTCATTAATTTAGTTTCTTAATTTGATCTTTTCCAGCTTCTCTACTCACTATGAATAATAAACATCCCATACTTTGCCACATATTGAAGCTAATTCACATATGTACTTGGTAGATTTCCTGATTGCATCTCTATCCCTCTTGATCCCTATCTTGCATGGATTATTTTTTCTCTTGAAAACATGCTTGTGCCGTTTTCTTAGGTACACAGTAACAACCGCCACACGCAGGGCGTGCGAGTCTTCAGCAAAGTAGAGTGTCTTTTCAAGCCTGGCCTCCTGCAGCCCTGGTCTTCTCCTGCACTCGCACTGCCTGTTCCCCTAGAAGATCTGAAGGACCCCTCTTCACGACCCATCTCCCTGCCGCTCGGCGGCCGGCTGGCTCAGATCCTCCGCTGCAAATTCTTCTTTGCAGACCGCTGGTTGCTCATCAGCGAGATCTCCTTCCTCTCTGGTAGGAAACTGAATCTGTTGGTTTTACATTTTGAGATAAGTGGCTCCCCTGCTGGTTCTGGGCCATTATATGCCTGCACAAAATTTGCTCTTGCATCATAGATATATTGACATCTTAGATATTGTTATTATTTCCAGGAAAAATCCATGGTGAAAATATTTTAGGTTTGACTACAAACTATTATTTCAAATCTTTTAAGGTCATCTATTGCATATTAAATATATTTTGTTTTCCACTTTTTCTCTAACTCTGAAAACAAGTCAAGGTGTGTTTCAAAGTATCTGAATATGTAAATAAAAAAGCAAAAACTGAAAAGCTTTACATTACATTTTTTTCTCTCTCATAAGATCCAAGATTTCACCAGTTTTTGGCGTTAAGATGAAACTTAAGTTGAATCATTTTGGCAAAAAGGAAAAAAGTGAATTTTTCAGTCTGAGCTGAAACATGCAAGAGATTGGTTCAGTTCCCAAAACCACTCTTCAAAATAAAAGGCTGCATTCTCATAAATTAATGTACATGAGTAAATTTCAGGTTCTTAATGCTGTATTACTGCTATAAAAAGGGTTAGAATTTCCAAATGAAATTTTTAGATACCCTTTAAAATAAAAGGATTCTTATTTGATACAATTTTATGGTTTTGTCTGTTACGTATTATTGATGGAGCTCAGACAGATTTAAAAAATGTTGGCTTTTAAAAATAAAACCCATGTAGAATTCAGAATTAACAGGGTATTCAAATAGCTGCCTTAGGCTGCCATTTAAGGGAAATCATCAGTACTTGATAGTTTAAACATGCTTAAAATTGTTGATTGTTGTTGGTCTGGTGTGGTAGAAATCATTATGTATATAAGAAGTTAGAATTACATTACATACATGTAACTCAACTACTAATCATACCAATGTAGCTGCTTTACCCTTCCAAAATAAAAGAAATGCAATCTCTTAAAAAATGATGTTTTATTACACAGCTAAAACTGGCATTACAGACGCCATAATGCCAGCCTTTCAAAATAAAATTAACTAAAACTATTGCCTCAATCACAACTTTGAGTTTTATATAACAGGGTTGAACATTGTTAGATATACTTAACAATTAATCATAAGGGTATTATGCATAAATCCATGGTAAAAAAAAAAAAAAAAAAATCATTCCTTTTATAAACATACCCTTAAAAAAAAAAAAAAAAAAATCATTCCTTTTATAAACATACCCTTGTTTGCATTTATTCTTGAAACATAAAAAAAATGCAGTGGACTCAAAGGAGCTTACATTTATATGCAGGGCTGCAAGGGTACAGCAGGCTTGGATGTTTTTACACATGAGGTTCTTCATCAACAAAGTAGAGGACAATTACAAACATAAGTTATGCATATCATTATATGCATAACACATATTAGAAAAAAAGAGCAGAGGTCCAGAGTGGAAGGTTATTTACCAGTTGTTTCATAATAGTTCCTCTGTCAGAATAATGCTTCCACTGCCAGCATTTACATTTTAGTATCTCTAATAAAGAATATTTGCAAACAGTCCTTCTGGTATGGTTTGTCTCTTCATGTACGCTAATATGACCATGCTGGCACATTTTTATACACTTCTTATGAAAGTCAAAGTTTCACATTTCTAACCTCCACTGTCTTTCTTTTTCGTTTTTACCTCAGCATATCTGAAGTATAATAAATACTTCCTGCCCAGGACTCAGGTGTACCCATCTGCACTGTAACTGAGATAACCTTGGCTGCTTAAGCTGTTCATTGTGTCAGGGTCGATGTGATAATCTAGCTGCCGTGCAGTCTCACAAAGTCAAGTGCAAGAAAGATTTCACCCAGCAGAGTCTAGTTTGTCGGTTTGAATCATAAAGGTGATGAAATGAAATGTTGCTGTAAAACTGTGTGAATGCCAGAATAATGGCTCCAGACTGAAATCGGGTCCATTAAAGCCTGTCTGCTGTCTGAAAATAAACGGATAATTGTAGATGGAAGATATTTAGCTCTAATGAGTAAATTATACAAATGCAATCATCAAGGTGGATGATTGTTCCTGTATGCCTCATATGCTCCATCCAGGTATTTAACTCAGTCGCGACTGAGTTAAATCATCCACATGACCTAATCCTTTATCTTCACTGCTATCAGCGCTCAGAAACAATCCCTTTCTGCACACCCGCTTGCTGTGAGCATTCAGTCACTGTACGTGAGTTACAACACCGATGGTAGCTCGTGAGATAGTGAGCAAACGCAATCCATCATTCTTGTCAATAGGAAATCCATCACCTCCTGATTAGAAAGACTCGTTCTTCGCTGATGAAGTCCTTTTGCCCAGCTGTGACCACAGATGCACTTTTCCCTTCACATCTACTTGTGTTAGTGACATTTTACAAAAGGGTTGTGTTTGAGAAGAAATCTATAATTTTGACATTCAAATTATACCAACACCAACATGTAAGGTTTCTATTTACATTCGAGGTGAGTAGAAACACTAAAATAAAAAATGGCAGCCTCTACGTGTGTTAATCAATGAGAACTGATCAGGCACATCCTAAATGTGGACTATTGGCCATTTGCAGATATTGGAGATATTTTACTTGCCACAATTCAAGAGTAGTAAAAAAAATATGTCCTAGGAGGTCAGGTGATTGTTGAAGATTCAAATAGTGGGATATTTTTGCTAAATATAGTGTTTAATAATTAAGTGTTTCAAACTCGATTGAAATAGATTTAAAGAAAGCCTTGTAACTCAACCACATAAAACAAAAAGTTTTAAGTAAAAATCAGAATCAGGTGCTTTAAATCTGACTAAATGTACAACCATTTACAAAAGAGGGAGTGAACTCAATCTAACTTTAGAAAAATAAAACTCTTGTCTTTATCATGAAAACTATAAAAATCTGCCTTAATAATTTACAGAATAGAGAGCCTTTCTTTTCATAAGCAAATGTCTATAATGTATGTCTATAATGTATGTCTATAATGATTTGTGTCGTCAGTTTAAAACAAAGAAAATCACGATGATTTTGTTTATTCAATTTTAAAATAACATTCTTTGGTGCAAGGGTATTTTAAAACTGACAATATGCTAAATGTCCTTACGATAACTTAGAGAAAAAGGTTACCAACACTTTCAAAACCTTTATTTATCTATGACTTAATAATAATAGTTTAATCTAGCAAAGATAGGGAACAAACCCGTGAAACTACTGAGTGTTTTGCACCTTCAGAGCGATTTAAGCTATGACTGCCTTCTCAAGCTTTTGCATGTGAGGGCGATCTAAAGGTCTGTTTGATCTAAAACAGTTCCTCCAGCTTCTTCAGGCGAGAGCTGCTGTAGTCTTCATATTAAAGTGATGGAGCTGCTGCCTCACCAGCTCCATCAGCGACAAAACCAGTTAGAAGGAATTGCTGATGGGGGTACCTCCCAATACTACAGTGGATAATCAAAAAAAAGTAATAATAGGAAAAGATTTTATCAAACTTAGGAATAAACCTCCAATTTCCTTGCAAACATCTTTAAAAAGTAATATTTGTGGCATAATCAGGAAATATTTCTGTAATTAATAATTTTTTTTTCATTTTTCGTATTTTGCATATCCAGAGCCGTTTGAGGAGGATGGGACAGACCAAAATTCTTTTCTTCACAATCCTCCAAAGTTTCCAGATCTTAGTTCGTCTCCTCCAGTGAACACCACCTCCTCTGCTCCCACATGGAGTCCCAGCTCACTCAGCAGCACCTCTGGGCCGTCTGGTAGGTCTGAGCCGCTTCTCACCACCTTCTAATTGTCACTTGACATCCACTCTCTACTCTCTTTACATCGTTTCTGTGCCATCTTTATGTTTTTGCCAATTTTATTTTGTCAAAGCTCTGAAAGATAATCTCTATACTCAACCGGGTATTAAGAAATTATTTTCCAGATTTCATTGTGCTTTTGGAGATCTTGAAGTGAAAGGGTAAATCATTGTAAGAGGCTGTTTGGCATCACAAATAGCCAGCATGAATGTAAATGAATACTGTATTCACCACGTTGGATGAAAATCCCACTTTATCCCTTTTCTTTGAGCCTTCATCATCTCTCCTCTCATGCTTTCCTCATTTGTTCATCCCTCGCTCCTCCAGAACCCCCAAACGCCACCACCCTGGTGATGGACACCACTGGTAACTGGACGCTGTCAGGTGAGAGAGAGCGCACCAAAGGAAAATCTCTTTAAAAAAGCCACAGAGGAAAATTGACTTCCTCTAAGTTGGCTGTCCTCCAGTATCTTAAAAAAAAATCGTCCCTGTGCTAAGTAGACAGTTTGCAGTATAATAATGGAGCAGGGATTAGGGGGACAGGATTTGGCACCAGGCTCTGTCCCTAGAGCTTGAAGATAAATAGCTTGAGGAAACAACTCTAACGCAGCCATAGTAAATTATATTTGCATCCAATAACATCTTGGCTTCCTGTGGTCTCACAAACTGCATGTTTTGTTGGCGAGCTGGCTTTATTCGACACTGCTAAACAATAACGGCCTCTAAAAAAATAAAAAGAGCTGGAAATGGTTTTCTGTGGCATGTATTCTGCTTTGTACTTTTTACTGGATGCGGTTGGATGGCTTTGTCTGGGTTTATTTATTACCCGCATGATGTTCAAGGGACACAGACATAGAGGGCCAAAGAGATGCAGGGACTCTCCTCTGTTTTGACAGACTAATGTTTAAAACACTTGATGCTAAATGTGTATTTAAGGATGTTATGCATATTTACATTTGTTTAAAGTGGTTTATTATTTCTTTTTATGGGATGACATGGAGGGTATGACACTTGGTTGCAATGTAAAGAGCGATTGTACAGCATCAGTAGATTTTAGGAATCAGGGGAGGGGCTTAGCCCCCAGGATGTAAACGAACATGACAGTTTCGTAAAGCTAAAAAAAAAAACTGTAAAGTTGCTTTTCCACTATTTAAAGAGATTTAACAGATACCTAGTAGGTAAATGTTTGAAGCAACTGTTGGGTTATTAATATAGTAGAACTAAAAACATAGTTCGTTTGTCCCTCAGCCTCGCCTTCTGCCTGATCCTTCACAATATCTTGAAATACAATAAATTGAATTACCTGATCAACATAAAGGCTTACGCCATGAATTTTGCTCACAATAATTGTTTGCTCCCAAAGATAAAAGAGAATAACAAAAATAGTTTTAATTTAAAATCTTAAATCAAAGTAATATTAAGGTATTCTTGAAAATATTTACATGAGCTTAAACTGACCTGTATATACAATAGTTAAAAAAGTGATTTTGAGAATAGTTGGATTTTTTTTCTCTTCCTTAATACAAAAAATGGTATTTTGTGTTGTATTAACTGTTGTTTTCTTTGCTTAATAATGAAATTAGTTTGATGTTCTTAAAAACTTTAGTTTGACACTTATTTGTTAATTAATGTAACATTTTCTATATATTCTCTCACAAAGACAGATTTGTTTGTCTTTGATAAATGAAATCAATATTTGAAAACTTTTATTTTCTTAAGCGATTTTTGTCTTCTATTTAAAATAGTTTAATAAATGTTGACAATTAAGTGCGACATAAAAAGCCAAGGTGAATGGATGAATACTTTTCCACATCATTCAAACTTTTTTAGACTTTCCTAGTTATAAAATAATTTGTTTATGTGCAGGTTTCACAAAGCCAATTGAGTCCAGTGGAAAGCTGTTTTTCCCTCATGCATCAAACATGTCTCAGCTGACATTGAAAAGAAAAGGAGACTAGGTTCTGATTACTTGACTACAAAGCTGCTAAGAAGAGGAGGAGGCACGCTGGCATCCTGTTCCCTAAGCAGCGGGGTATGGGAGGCTCAGGGTTATGGTGCATATTCAAGCAGACAATCCCTATCAGATGTTGAGTAAGCCTGCTGTATCTTTGCTGGTGTGTGACTCCCTCTCTTCCCTGCTCTGGTTATATATACACAAACCCACACAGTGGATGAACACTCAGAGCTGCAGAATAATTTAAATGTTGAAGAACTGAATTAAGAGGATGTTTGTCTACTTCTACCAAAGTTACATTTCTAAAGAGAAATGCCCTTAAGATGAAAGAAGCATAAATTATTTTTAAATCAAATCAGTTTTATTTATCATCTCAAGCTACTGTAGAGTCAGCTTTGTCAAATCATACTTGATTGGTCAGTATTTATAAGGCAGGAGTGTCTATATTTGGTCCACAGGGATCTCTATGTTGCAGGTTTCTCTGCTTCAGCCCAGATGATTTTCACTGAGGGCTGCTTAATATATTTTTTACTGAACTGTAATAATTTGAATCTGGTTTGTTAAAATAAACATTGAAAATCTGCAATTTTTAACATACTTGTTCAACAGACACCCAGCAGATTGAATCTAGTCGTTGACCTACAGAATTCAACCCTCCTGGATTAAAATGTGCAGTCGAAGGCGGCTTGCATTGTGTTATTTTCTTTGCAGCAATGCCTCATACTGAGAATGCATGTGGTGATAGTAGAGTGAAACTCCCCTCAGGTAAAATCAGGCTCAGCATAAATGGCCTTCTGCCACAATCAAATGAAAGTTTGAGCAGAAAGGGCATACACACAAAGAGAACTTGAAGCTCTGATCCAGGAATGCTTTCTATAATTGAGAAAAGGAAAAGTTGGCAGCAGTATTGCTTCCTGTTGTGGCTTCTTATTTTATTTATTTATTGAGGATTTGCAGCTGCACACATTGGAGTCTTCTAAAAGTCTTCAAAAAATACCAGGGCCAAAAAATGGCCGCAGCCCACCATGATTAGTTATGATATGTGGAGACGTGGCATAGCAGAGAATATAGAGTATGAGCACGCTGTGTTTCAAAACTTCAAATAAAGCACAGTGGCCTACATGGAGAATAACCGTGTTAAAAATTGAATACACTTTCACTTCTCACAGAGCCTTTGATATCGGGAGAGATTGCCACTCTTCCTATTTTGAATTGAAAGTCATCAAAGAAACACTGCTGGAGATGTATTTTAAATTGTTATTAAAATAAACTCTTTATATAAATATTAAAAATTAAGCCCATAATAAGACAATGCATCCATGCTTAATAACAAGCCTCTCAAAATTAATTCTTAGACTACGAAAAACAGAAGAATGTTTTTGAATCAAAGATGGATGAAGAGACTGACAGACATGATAAAGAAAGGATATGAATAAGTGAAGTAAGGTTTTATAGTCTTTAATATGCCTCAGCACACTATGTGCCAAGCACCTCTAATGCTCTTCTGTTCTATTGTGTGCATGCCTCCAGTCTGTCAGACTTGGCATAAGCAAAGTTGGAGGCCCAATAACAGAGTAGTGCTTTACTCTGTAATGTGGAACTAAAAGGACACATTTCTCATTAGTAGGAATCAGAAGGGCGTGGCCTGCATTTGAGTTCAGAACATCATAGATTTACCTTCTGCTGCAGTTACAGCTGCACATCCTGCAGGATATGGCTCTACCAGCTTTATATGTAGAGACTGGAAAGTAAATCCCAATAACTAACTGTTGGTGGTTTTGCCAGTCAGGACTTTGACTGAATAGACTTTTCTAAAACATGATCTAAATCATCCCACTGTGTTAAGCTCCATCCATCTTTTCATCAACTCTAATCCGCTACAATTTCCCTGCTGCATAACAGCTTAGCCACAACACGATGCAGCGGCCACCATGTTTAGCTGTGTGGATTATGTGATCAGGGTTATGTGCATTTGTAGTTCTGTTGCTGCCTCTTTTTTTTTTCCCTTTTGATTAAAGAACAATCCCCAAAATGACGTTCCAAAACATCCAAATATGCCTTAAAGGGCATATTTGAGTGTTTGTCAATTAGTTGTCTTGCTGGCAGTTTCTTCCACCAGTGCTTTGGATTTCTCCTGCTCCTCTCTCTTGTTTTTCTTACTCCATTTTTACTTAGCTATTAGTAAGATGACCATGCCTTGGTAGATTTGCATTTAAACCATAGATTACACAGTAATTTGTTATATATTTAAAATTTCAGACATTTTTTTTTATCCCTGACCTTTACTTAGGATCTTCATGAAGGTTTTGTTCACTTATTGTATCAAGCCTCTCTTGTCCTGACAGAAGAGTCAAATTTATACTTATAATATTAAAATTTGGAGGGCTCATTTTACTAATTAGTAGACTTCCTGTTGTACAAGATTAGATTTAATTTTTAAAAAATAAATATGGTAAAACATCTTAGATTTTTATTTTGAAAACACTGAGTCCAGACATTATTTTTGTTCAACTTTTTTTGTGTTAGTCTGTAACTTAAAATGCTACTTCAAAATGAGATGCTTTTGAAAGCGACTGTATCCTTGCTGGCTAAGAGTTGGGCCTGCAGCATTTGAACTAGGGGGGGAATGTCGCATTTTAATGAACCTTATGGAAATTCTGAAATTCAGAAGTTTCATTAGAAAAAACTTTTTTTTATATTGACCCCAAGATTAGGAGAAAATACTTTGAGGTTTTTCTTTCATTTTCCCAGAGCTAAAAAGGGGACTGTCCAAATTCCCAGCTGTCATGCAATGCATCATAACGTTTTGATGAATCCGTAAACAAACTAATTTACAGAATAAAACCATGTACGGAGCTAAATCATAATTTTCAGATTGTTTTTCTGTGGTTAGACTTGAAGGCGCATTTACTCCCAAACCTTCACACAACCAGAGTTGCAGAGAATGTGGCAACATACTCTATGCTAAAGCCCACATTTTCTTTATGCCTAGCATGTGTTTGGAAATTTAAGACAGCAATTTAATTAAATTTATGGTCCCAGCACTGGCATTACTTTTGTAAACCGGTTGCACACATATGTGCAGTCCATGGATTATTGTCCAGATAGTATGTCCTAAAAGGCAAAACAACTATAATAAAATATGAGAATTTCTGTCTGCAAAGAAATACACTACAACTCACTTATAGTGGCTCATAAAACACGACTGAAGCTCTTACATGTAGGCTTTCAAACAATAGTGAAAAATGGAACAAAGGTGCAGCAGAAACACAGTCTTCTGAAGCAGGCTGTCCGCTATCATATAAATGTGGCAGGATGATGATCAAGGAAGTGCCTGAGGACATTTGTTTGAATGGGAGTAAAACAAACCTCAGGTGTCATCCTGTTTGCCATTTGTCTCCTTTGATCACCACTTTCACTGTATTATATTTAACTTCCAAACCAATCTAATGCTTTGCATGCCGTCAAATGATTATCAGGTGGAGGATTACTGTAAAGTTTCACTGAAACGCCTCAATAGAACGCATACTGTTAATGTTATAGATGTGGAGCTTATAAAGAGAGATTTGATGGTTTGAATAGATCTACAACTTTTTGATGTGGATGAGCCATAGACGATATGCACAAACCTGAAAAGGAGGGCAGGACTTGGCTTGGATTCATCACATGTTAGCTGATGGAATGAATCTGCTGTGCGTGGGCGTTTTCTTGGAAAAATATCAATTTAAAAACATGAATCCTAAAAAGGTTGAAACAGAGACTCTCAGCAGCAGGAAAAAAACAACATTTTAAGGAATCTGATAGAGAGAAACAGAAACAGTCAAAAATGACTAGGATTGTTACTGATGCTTTTAAAAAATACAGCTTCTTCACATCTAGCTAAAAGATTTCTATCCCTTCATGTGTGGATAGTAACGATTTTATCTGCATACAAAAAATGTTTAATTCTTTCAGGCAATTCTTTCTTTTACCAGTGGTTTGGAAAAAATTATTGATAATTAATTTTTTGCATGTGTGGGGATGTCTAAAATGTATTTTACATTAATTTAAATGTGAACAAGCTAACTTTCTAAACATCAAACCTATGTTTATGAAAAATGTGAATAATTTATGAGACATCTTGTACGTGGATTATAAAGTTTTCACATAAATCATCAATAAATGTAAATATTTTACATGAAGTGTGTAACATTTGCACTATATAGATTTCTTTTTGCTATGACATAACCACCTCTTTATTATTTTTTATACTTAAACCTTCAGCCTTGGAAGGTAAAGCGATTATTAACAGAAGTATGGTTTGATTTCAGACCCCCCTTTAAAGAGTTTAATTTCTCTTAGATTATCTGCACTGAGTGTGGTCAAATTATGTGGAAGGTCACATGCATGCAAGCGCTTCACTAATGCTGTGATTGTTAATAAATGTAACTTTCAAGCACATCCTCCCACATTTTATGAGTTCTTCAGCTGAAATGTGTTTGTCTGAAAATGTTGGAACGTAAAAGCAGTGAGTTTTTGTTCCTAATAATAAAGATAAAACAAGTTAACATTCATCATGTTTGTTTTTTCACAGGACGTGAGTTTGCTGGCATTACTCCGAGGGCAGGACTTCCTGTAGCCAAAGATGATGGAAGTAACACGGCTATTCTGATTGGCTGCCTGGTGGGCATCATTCTGCTACTGCTGGCTGTTATAGTTGGGATTCTTTGGAGGCAGTACTGGAAAAAGATTTTGGGGAAGGTGGGTTAAATATAAAACCTTGATATCCTACAATTTTTTTTTTAAGTGTAAATATTTTAGTTTTTCTGATTCAGTTCTAAAATAATGCATCAGGTATTGTTCTAGCAGTGAACCAGCCCTTCTCCATCTGGATTTATAATAGCTGCTAATCAGTCAAAGATTAAAATTCATCTCCAGAATTTTGATTGTCCATCTGTCCTAATTGTTGTTTCATGTTGCCTCTCAGGCCCAAGGCAGTCTTTCCAGCTCCGAGCTCCGAGTCCATCTGTCCGTCCCCTCAGACAACGTGGTCATCAATAACACACACAGCTACTCTAGCCGCTACCAGCGCATACACACTTTCCCTGATGACCGGGACCACGATAGAGACGGAGAGGGGGAATATCAGGAGCCCAGCGCTCTCATCCGGCCCAGAGACCACAGGGACAGCACCAGTAAGTCACAAACAGTTGCTTTAATGTTGCTTACCTTAGCTTTTAAATTTGTTCTTTCTAAGTCAGCATAAAAGCCAGGGTTAGAACGTAAATAATTAGAAATAAATTGCTCTTTCAAAGTCACAAGTCATCATTTTTGTTTCACTGTTTTCTCCTGAGGAGTGATATTTTTCTAGACTGGTTTTTGCACTTTCCACTGCAGTTTGTGGCCATTTTCATCCATTAGTCCCTTTCAAATATGCCAAGCTTATGTTGTCCAGCTTTATGCATCACATACATCATATAGAAATATATTAAACAAAGCATTTTTTATTGATGTATCTACAAATGAAAAACTCATCATTCAATAGTGATGGAATTAAAGTCGAAATGAATAGAAAAAAAATGTTCAGTATGGTTATATTATATCCTCCAAAGCTGAAAACATAAACAAATGTCGTCATAACAAAGATCATTTGACATGACAGCAGAAGCATCATTGGCCATGTTTGTTTTGAAGTCAAGCAGTGACCAGAGATGAACACGACTGATGTTTGCAGTGTACGCACAAGCACCCCCCACAGACTGCATCAAGGGGAATTCACAAATGCACCAGTCTAAAGAAAAACGTTATGTATTTTGAAAAACAGTTTAAGAAAATATCAACATGAAATACTTATATTCCTTAATAAAAGAGCTTTGAATAAAATAAAAACATTGATATGGACAAAAAATTACAGTCCTCATAATCATTTAACTGTCCCACCGGCAACACTACACTGCAAATGATGTTGACACTGTCCGACACTAGGATGGACAGAAAACGAGTGAAAACGAGTGAAATTTTGACAGTTAAGGGAATATGTAAAACATGTCATCAACTGCACAGCGATGGTAATAAATAAGCAGAAAATGTGACATAAATCCAACCTTCCATATGAGGCGTATTTACATTTTTTTTTACTCATGCTTGTGGTTTTTACCACACTGCTTAGTTTGCATGCCTGTGTTTGTATTTTTGCAAACTTATTTAGAGACGGAAAACAGCAGAAGAAAGAAAATAGGCTTGATGTAGCGTGCTTATCAAGAAAACAGTGGTGTTACAATATATTCCACTATGCCAAAGAAAAGTAAATCAAATCAAACATTCTGCAAGGAAGACTGCTTACAAGAAGATGCACAGTCTAGAGAGGGCACAAAAGAGCCATTGTTCTGAGGAACTGGAAGAAAAGGGAGGAGAAGCTAGGATTAAGGGGGAAAAATGCATTCCTTTGCTTGCATTGTTCCTCAGGAGGTTGGCATGCCATCTTTACTAGGCGCCTGTGTGAGTGAAATAACAAGAGTAACAAACATCCCAAACAGACAGTTTTTAATGTGGCTTGAGCTGTTTTAACATGCCTGTTACTGAGATGTTCCTCTTTTTCCCGTGCTCAGAATGCAAACCCTTATCGTTGCTTGTATAGACGAGGACACGCTAACACTGTCATGATTCTGTTTTGTTGTGTGTTATAATTTTTTTTTTGTACACCCCACCTCGTTCTATATGTTTGTGATCCCGTAGCCTTGCTGTTAAACAATCCGGCCTATCACGTGCTCCTACCAGATCACAGAAAAGGCTCCAGAGCCATAGTCGTCACCAAGGTCAACCAGGCTCCAGAAAAGAGCCTCAATGTACCCCAGGGTAAGAAGCCTCAGACTGGGCCGAACTTTCATCAGGATCCCCTGCTTCAACACTCACCTGCAGACGCAGTAGTTCTTCTCCTAAACATTTATCCTCTTTTTTCTGCATGTTACCTTCTTTTTTCTTACTCATCACAAACAGCTTTTCTTCCTTTTGTTTAAAGGGATACTTTGGGCTCTAATGAAACAGAAACTTTCATATGGATGGTTATTTTTTTTATTTGTCATCAGAATCAGTTCCTGCAAAGACCAAAGTTTTGGATCTTCAGCTTAAAATATTCAAGCTATCTTAGAAACTGACCTTTATTTTGTTCAAGGACCAATCTTTCAAGAACAACAGCTTTTCAGTGGTATATATTTTTGGATTAACTTCGAAATTTCACATAATTGTCAAGAGTATACCCTCCTCCAACACTGTTAGTACTTTCTGCAGTGTTACCATGACCCTAAATGGCACAAAGAAGATAGAAATCTCCAATATTTAAATATGAAATGTTACAGTAGAAAATCTGCGTTGTTTGATGGGAGCGAATGAAGGGGGGTGGAGTAAAACAAAAATAAGATGTTCAGTGAATGACTTGCCATATGTTAATATGAGAAAGTTCAATAAAAACAACGTTTAAAAAAAGAAAAAGAAAATATGTATTGGCTATATAGGTTAAATGCACACTCCTGTTGAAATTTAATTGATTGTTTCAAACTAAAATGTTTCATGATGCACAACTAGGTTTTAAAGACAGACTAAAGGATTGGTTGGGATAATGGGATAATTATAAAAACTGCAGTTACCCAAAAACTAAACCTTAAAACTTGTCAATCATAAATAATCTGTATAACTTCAAATGAGGTTAAGTTGTCTTTGGATGATTCCCCAAACATTTTTTTAAAAAAGCAAATATTTTTTTTCTGGATAAGAAGCTTTAAGTCCCAAACTTTCAGGTGTCTGCATGAAGCTAAAGGTGAATATAAATCTTTATTTTTAAGTTTCTATTTTATCCAATACATAAAAGTAAAAAAAAAAATGACTTCACAAGGAAAAATAAATGTTGTTGAGTATTCTATTGCAAAATCACATTAGAAAATAAACCTGTAGTGTTAGTTGAAGATTGCTGTGGACGAGATATATCCTCACAATCTGAAAGAGATGGATATCAGTTGAAAGGCAGAGTGGAGAAATATCAGCCGTAGGATATGGGTTGCAATGAGAGTCAATTCAAAAAGGTGCTTTAGCAAAGCAATTCCAAAACAAGGTCACTGCAGCTTTTTGTTTGTTACTCAGGAAGATTAATCCCAATAATCCTGTTTTGATCCTTGTTATAATACAGTGCAGTTATATTCAATTGATAATGGCAGATGGGTAATAAGTTGTCTTAGGAAGCCCAGCCACTGCTGAAGCTCCTGCTTCTCCTTCCAGATTATCGTAAATATGTCACCTTTATTAAAGTTATCTGTATAATCCATGGTAATATGATCCATTGGCCACAGTTTCATCTGATTTAAAGCTGAAAAATCCTCATATCAGGCTCATCATTATTTCAAAGGTAAAACAACTTAGTATTCAGCTCCTGTTCTCCTTACAAGCCCATGACTCAAGTGCTGTCTGAACCTTTTGGGAGTCGCTGCTATCAAACATAAAATCATTATCTTTTCAAGGTGTTTTACTTTTTATCAGTGAGTGAAAATGCAGGTTGAAATTTAGTTTTAAATCTGGAGCGAAATAGGCTGTAAATGAGCATAGGTGGGTTCAATATAAAGGGTTTCATACCTTTTAAGCATGCAGGGAGTTGCAGGAATATGTCTTGTATAAATTTAATAAAGTTATATATTATCTTTGCGCTCACTGGAAAAAAATAAGTCACTAGGGAGTGAATATATACTGTCGACTATCCTAATGAAACAATGATTGATGTACTGACCGGACTGGAGGAGACCGCAGTGGGGAATACGTTTACAAAATTGTAATCCTTCACAATGTGCAGGGGTGTGTCCATATTTCTGAAGGATGACAGCTTCTCTGCATAATTTCGGCTTTAGCTCAGCCTTCCAGTAGATGAATGAGCTTGCAGCTGTGCTTAGGATCATATGTTCCTTCTGTGCTAATCAACGACCTGTTCCTGGGCCAGGAGAGCTGACTCCATGGAATAAGGTTTTTTACTTGTTTTCAATCATCTTAGATTTGATCCATTTTCTTTTTAATGCTTTATGTGCAGAAAATGTTGGATATGCAGCTGAAATCCAAACTATCCCTTTAAAGCAAGTTGTCTGGCTTTCTGGTCCTGTTTCTGTTTCGAATCACTTGGATATTCTTGGTTATCTTATCATTGCATCCACCTTGTCTGCCTTTTCCTCTTGTCTCCAGCTTGTGGTTTGGACTTGGACCTGGAGAAGGGCTTCCCTCCAGCACACGAAGAGCCTCCTCCCTACCCTGGATCCCCTCCTTATCCATCTCTGTCTCCACCGGTTTCCCCCCCACTGCCTCCCAGTGTCCCACATTATGCCGAAGCAGACATTGTAAGTCTGCAGGGGGTCAGCGGCAACAACACCTACGCAGTACCTGCCCTGGCCTCTTCCAGTCCTGGAGCCGACGCCCTCCCGCTGCCGGAGCTGCCACGCCAGTGTCTCATCTTCAAGGAGAAGCTGGGGGAGGGACAGTTTGGGGAGGTGAGACTAACAAAAACAGATAAAGTATCCCCTTTCTCTATCAGTGTCTGATTTCTTTTTTTTTTATGGTGTCAAAGGTCCACCTGTGTGAAATTGAAAACCCTCTGGACCTCCCAATCCTGGAGTTCCCCTTTAATGTGAGGAAAGGTCGCCCTCTTCTGGTCGCGGTGAAGATACTGCGACCAGACGCCTCCAAAAACGCCAGGTTTGTGTCATCACTCCCACAGTTTCTCCCTTCACTGAACTACGGCACTTCTCCCTACATTTAAGGATCAAATTAAAAGGAAGATTTTGTAAAAAATGATGCCACTGTTGAAAGCTTTCTTCATTTTTATGCAATATGTCTAGAGTACAGAAACAGCCTTTTTCCTGTGTATATCCTTTATATGCTAATTAACTCATTTTATTTTAATAATTCAGGAAATAAGCAAATATTTATTTGTAAAATACACCACTGAACACTAGAGGAGTAGAAATTGATACAATCCATGAGTGTTTAAAAAACTGGAGCAATTTTTACTCATTATTTCACATATTTCCAACCTGGTTAAACTAAAGCAGTTTGTAAAGGTTTTGCCTCTGTAGGATGAGGAATATAAAATTATGACTGACTTTAAAACAGAAGATTAATTTTAATAAAAGTTCTACATTACATGGATTTAAATGTCGATATGCAGATATTGTTTTAATATGCAGACAAAGATAACCCTTTTGGAAGCCTGAAGAAACATAAGCTCACGCTCATTTTTGTAAAAATAAATCAAACCTTTTATTTGAGAGGTTATTCAGTGGTGAACAGGACAAATGTTTAGAAATAGATGTTTTTAGTGAAACCATTGGGGATCTATTGGTAGCTGTTCTGCTAAACCAATTTTCTATACAACAGCACCGTCCTGCAATGACCTTTGTCAAGGTCTGAGCATGCAAAAGATATAATTGACTATTCCTCATTCTATAGACCCCGTTTGTCCTCCAGAGTCCTCTATTCAACCTTATCCCCCCATGAAAGCGGGAAGTCCTGGACTACTAGTTAGCAATTCTTCGAAAATTTGATCACTTAAAAAATTAAAGCACACATTACAAAACCACAGCAGTTGCATTTATTTTGTAGGAATTTTTTGGCTGTTTCTTAATGATGGATTTTTAATAAAACTGAAATGTTATTAGATAATCCAATTTTTTTTCTAAAGAAGAAAAAAACTAATCCTGATCTAGTGATGTAAAAAAGGTGGCTGACTTAATTAAAGGGATTATCTCAGGCAGGTTTCATCTGGAGTTTTTGGGCCATGACGGTAAACACTGGATAGCCTCTAGCTCTCAGACAAAAGATCTATTTTAAAATCTTAAATTAGTTACCTATAGTGAAAAAAGGCAAAAACGAAAAGCAGCTTAGAGAAAGAGGCCATAAATGAACTTTGTGAATTCTGGCCTTAAGCATACTGGGATTTGATGTGAAGCAGCTTTAATAGGGGGAACAGGGTGTGACATGTCTGCCCTGAATAAAGACTCTAACGTTGAGTTTAGTTCAGTCAGAAATTTAATAAAATGTTTTTGGCAAACAAAGAAAAAATATCTGAATTTCTGTAGTTTTATTATGAGTGAGGCTTTTCAAACTCGGGCTGTGTGAAGATTTCAAGAACCAGAGCTGCACAAACATATTGACCTAACAAGCAAATCAATAAGGACAAAAGTGTAGAAAGCTAGAACTTCATGTCAGACCTTTGATTCTTAAAAGTGAAGAAAAAAACTGTTGAATGCAGTATGTTTTTTTTCTACATCTCTTCATTTCTTCTGCTAGGAACGACTTTCTGAAAGAGGTAAAGATCTTGTCTCGCCTGAAAGACCCCAACATCATCCGGCTGATAGGAGTGTGTGTGAGCAGTGACCCGCTCTGCATGGTCACTGAGTACATGGAGTGTGGAGACCTGAACCAGTATTTGTCACAGCGTGTTCTGCTGGACAAATCTGGGCCTTCACTCAACACCCTGACCATCAGGTAACTTTAACCATTTAAATTTACACCCATGACCATTTATATCCCCATTTTTTTGTTACAGTTCTTACCGTCTCCCTCTTGTTCCTCAGTTATCCAGCTCTCATCTCCATGGCCAGTCAGATTGCATCAGGTATGAAGTTCCTGTCCTCCCTGAACTTTGTGCACCGAGATCTGGCCACTCGTAACTGCCTGGTCGGTGGAGAGAAGGGTGAGAGCGGAGAGGATCGAGGCGGAGAGCGTCACATAAAGATAGCTGACTTTGGTATGAGTAGAAACCTGTACGCTGGAGATTACTACAGGATCCAGGGCAGAGCTGTGCTGCCCATACGGTGGATGGCCTGGGAGTGCATCCTCATGGTGAGCAGGCAGACATACCTGTTGGTAGTTTGAGTCTTCCTGACACTAATTTGTTGAGTTCTCCCTCCCATTTTACCTACTTAAATAGTCCTTGCAGCGGGATGGTCCTGTGTTCAAACTTGACCTAGACTCTCTATGGACTTTTTATGTTCTACCATATATATGTTCTGTCTGGGTGTGCTTGTCTGCATGGTTGTCAGTCCTGTGTGTCTCCTTGTTGTCCTATGAGAGACCATATCTGAACGGATACATGAGTCAATATTATTTTCCATAATTTTCAGGACCTACTAAAAAGTAAAATTCCATAGTTTTCTGTAGAATTATCACTTTTTCTTGTTCTTGAGATTCACAGCCAATAAATGCAGGTCAAGGCTTTTTGGTCAGTTAATAGTGAAATTAAAAAAAAAAAAATACAAAAAAAAAAAAAAAAGATAATGGACTAAAAAAATCAGCTATTCATTATTATAGCCCTCACATGTAAAATGAACCTATTAAATGTTGTATTCCCGTGTAGCACACTGCCCTTTACCGATAACGAAGTGTCTAAATGTGACGGTAATGGAGTTTGTTATGATGAAGGCAGAGGTTTAAATGTGTGCGTCGGTGTGTCCTCAGGGTAAGTTCACCACAGCCAGTGATGTGTGGGCGTTTGGTGTCACTCTGTGGGAGATGCTGAGCGTTTGTCAGGAGCAGCCGTACTCCAACCTCACGGATGAACAAGTCATAGACAACGCAGGGGAGTTCTTCAGAGACCAGGGCAGACAGGTACGGTCCTCACAAAGTTATGCAAACTTCACAACATGAACACAGCTTTGAAAACAAAGGCTGGAATTAACTTTTTGGCTCTTTAAAAGCTATCTGACTCTGTAAGAATACTCTACTTTTTTCTTTAAAGTATTAGATTTTCAAGATGTTTTAGGTTTATTTATGGACGGGGGGGATTTCAGCCTTAGAAGCATCTCTCCTATATGACAAGTCATTGTTTTGTCTTTCTTACCATTGCATCATCGACACTGAAAAACCCTGAGGCCTGCTGGGCTTTAGATGTTCTTCTGGGTTTTGTTGTAGCCTCCTGGGTCAGTCCTCCAATGTTCCACATTTTCTCCATCTGTGAATAAGGGCTTCTCACTTTGGTTCACTGATACTTTCTTTAGTCAACCTCATTTTGTCAGACTGGCAGTTATTATCATGAAGTAAAACTAACAAAATGCCACAAACTAGATTCAAAAAATATATTTCTTAACTTTAAAAATAAAAGCTACACCTTGCAAAAATGAAAACTACCTGAAAATGTAATAAGTGTTTACACAACTCATTAAAACAAACTGAATTTCATGAGAGACTGTATTTAGTATTAGTTTGTGTCTTTATCATAAAGCATTAATATGAGGTGTAGTTTCTGGCTGCTCTTTTTCTTTGTACCGCATTATGCCAGCAGATGGCAGGTATGGCAGTCAGTTTGTCTTTTTGTGACATTTTATTTCTATTTTTTTGTTTCTGTTTTTAGTCTTCCCCCCAGTATGCAAGTCGTATTACATAAAAGACTAAAACTATAATTGAAACCAAAAAAAAAAAAAAAGGAATTAGCTAACAAATGGTAAAACTTAAAACTGTAATAAAATCACAACAGAATTAAAATTTAAATTAAAAAATAATATAACTAAAGAAAGCTCAAAACTATTTATTCTTGCAGACTGGTTCTGAGTTTCTCTGAAATGTGGCTATAGAAATTGAACCTAAGTTTGTGTAATTACTCCCTAAAAATAATTTAAAGAGGAGGTTAATGTTCTTTATAGCCTCTTTTTGCACTATTTGAATAATATTTAGTTTTTCATTGTTTTGATTCACTAACGGATCCCCAATCACAGCTAATGAAGCTAAGATTGCCTGATTCTGGTCCCCACACAGCACAACCCAATCCAGTCTTGAGCAGGTCAGAAGCTTATCAAACCCCTGTGTTTCTCTTTCAGGTGTATCTGAGCAAGCCTGCCATTTGTCCTCAGGGTCTCTATGAGCTCATGTTGAGCTGCTGGAACAGAGACTGCAAACTCCGCCCCTCCTTCTCCTACATCCACTCCTTCCTAACCGAGGACGCCATGAACATGGTCTGATGGAGGAACGATAGGAAGACAGTCAACTTGAGCGCTCGTGCTGAAGTGGTGTGGTGGAGGGTGTGTTCACAGGGAGGAGGGCTTTCTTGCTTTTGTATTTTGTACTTTTTGGGTGGATGGGGCTGAGACACCGCTGGTTCGGTTTGAATTCCACCTCAGACCCCCAAAGACGTCTTTTAGCAGGGGGCAGTAACATTTCATAGTGAATGGTGGTGGGTTTAGTATGCAAATGAGTTTTCACTTGTTTAGGTTTCTTTGCAGTTAAGGAGAGATTGTGTCACTGGTGATTCAGTGCTGTAGAGTAAACAATGAATTAATCACAATCTCAAAAAACAATTTTGAAGTCTGAAACTTCCAGTTAATTGTGGGTTAGCAGGTGAATGTTCTTCCTGTCTGCATATCTGAACACCTGTTGCTTGCAGGTGATACAGCACACAGGGATTGTCTTAGTATTTATAGCCCATACAGAGTATGCACTGTAACTCAGTGAGCTTACTCCCAGCTACACCCCCTTCGGCCTACTTTTACGTCTTCGTTATCTCAGCCCCACATTATTGCCCAGTGACCCATATCCACGGTGTTTGTGGATAAGTAAAAGTCTGTGGCCCAGACAGCAGCAGCTCCCCTTTCTGCAATGTGAATACGTCAAGTCTGCCATCTTTAACCGTAGGAACAGTTAAAGAGCAATCTGACCTTCATCTGTGAGAGAGAAAGACCAGACTTCTGAAACAAGAGGAAAGCGCCACAGAAGATGAGAGTCTGCAGCTTCAAATTAATAAATCAAGTTGAATTTTTATCCGAGAGACAATGTTCTGGGAATTTTTTTTGTTTTTACGCACTTCATCGGATGTTTTTTTTTTTTTTTTCTTTTTAATATTATATTGTACCTTTTCTGACTGTGACCCAGTCAGAGAGGATCCATTTAAAATTCCACAAATCAGCAGCACTTTACCCTACATGCAATTTCCATGTCTGTGATGAAACTTCTGTGACGTGTCTGAATGATGATTCCTGAATCTACCTACAGATATTCACAAAAATGCTGCGGACATCATCAGGACATGCATGACAAACCTTTACACTCCATTGTTTTGTGACATAGAAAATAATATGATGAATCGTTTTTAAAATGTTTTCCACCTTTAATTGGCTTTTATCATTTACACTTCCACTGAAAACCAAAATATCTGAAAGGAAAGACTTTATAAGGCATAAAAAGCTGTATAACCCTGGTTGTATAACTGCACACCCTTTAATGTTTTTTTAAAGCACCTTTTGAGTCACTATCTGGATTCAGTATTCTTGGTCGGCCTCTATCAGAACCCCACATCCTGGTTTGGAAAAATGTGTCCGCTCTCCTTTGGAAAAGTTTATTTATCAGATTTTGATTTTTAAAAATCCCTTGTCCACACTACCCTTAAAGTGACTACATAAATATGTTGCCAGATTTAGCCCTGAGTGGGCAATTCCCAAACTTGCTTTTTCTTCCAATAAAATACGTTTTGAGTTAGATGCACGCTTGGACTCACTCTGATGTTTCTTATCTTAACTTTGTTAGTAAACCCTGTGTTTCAATTTAAAACTGACTTGTGATTGTAAGTGTTTTAAATACCTTCCATTAAGAGAAAAGTTTCCCCACAGCATGATGTTGCCTCCACCGTGTTTCAGTGATACATTTGGTTATATTCATGGATGCTTTTTCCAGACTCACCTGGAATTATGGCCTCAACATTAAAGTTTTTTACACATAGATGTGTTTCACACAAGGTCAAAGGAGATTAAAATTATAAGAAAATAATACTACTATGAGTTCAGGAATAGATTATGGAAAGCAAAGTTGATACCTCATTAAATTTTATTTTTGAACTAAATTTTCCTTCACAAGAACCTCCTGCAGCTTCTTTGTTTGGCCGCATTGACCAGTTTGTTTCGTCTTTTCATTGATTTGAAAGAAACATCCAATGTCTAGGATTGTAACAGTTCATCTGATTCATTATTGCTGATTTTAAGTACACTGAATGCTAAAAATGATTTAAAAGGTGCTTCTTAAAATGTTGCAGCTTTTTTTTTTTTTTCGCTTATTTTCCCCCAACAAATTTATTTTTACAATATAATAACAGAAAATGTATGATGTCACAATAAGGTGGAAGACTATCAGAAATGGATTTATCATGGTCTTATTTTTTACGGCACAAAAACCTGGCATGTTCACAGGTGGTGTAAAAACTTATGAGACTTACTGTAATCTTTAAACCCTCCACAGCTTTGCCAAACCATTAGATGTAAAATATATCGTTTAAAAACATGGAATGGCGTTCTGGATTAAAACAACAATCTGTGTAAGGTGAGATGTTACTGATCGTATAATTTCCTTTTATATCACTGTAATTTTTATGGCATTATTCAAACGGGGGATTCTGGGGATTCCTGATTTTTGGTTTGAAAGTGGATCTCTGCATTTTATGTTTAACCTGACCAAGGTAGAACCAGTGCTTCTACCTTACTGTCTGTACAGCACTGTAAATCAGAACTGAGATCATCCTGATTGTGAAGTAACACATGTTTAGTGATTGTCTACGGTTGTGTCATTTGATTCATTTTAATACACTGTAGTTCATTCGTTTAAGCATGCTTACAATAGAAAGTATCTACGCTCGCTTTCAATTTAAGGTTTTAGGTATAAAGAGACATTTGTTTTTGGTCCTCACCAGATTTCTTCGTCAAATGAACAAAATCATAATATATCAATATTTATAATGAAGAAGCTGTGTGTAAAGTAAAAGGAGGTGATTACCTTGTGGAACCACCTTTAGTAGCAAAAGCTTAAGAGAAATGTTGTTGTGTATTAGCTTAGACCATGAAAAAAACAACACCCTAATTAAGAGATTCAAAAGAACATTTTGATCACAAAACATTCTCAGTTTAATCTGGGTCATAGAAAACCACCAGCCTCGTGTTTGGGCATCACAGAAGCATTGTCATCATCCAAATATGGAAGTGCTTCCTGTTAATGGTCCTGACTCAAAATGTTTTTTCTGTTTCAGAAAAGGGTTTTAAGAGCACTTATCCAATTTAAAAGAGTGTAAAGTTGGACTGATCCCTGTTTAATGCCTGTAGACATTTTCTTGATCTCAAACAAGAGGATTTATAATTTTGAAGTGCATTTCAGAGAGCCACATAGACAAGAAGACCCTCTCAAACAATAAGATATAACATGAGTTAGTCAGTTTTAGTTTTAAAATTGCCAACTAAGTTTTTGTATATTTAATAACGAATGTTTCAGACCACTTTACTATGACAGCAGATAGATTTGATTTATCCTAACCAGTGGTTGATTTGACAAATTTGGGGCCCCAAGTTAAGGCAGGCATGGGCCCCCCAGAAAACACACAAAAAATGTTAATACTGAAATGTTAACAGTTTACACAGCAGTTTTTTATTTCCCCAAACTTTGTTCTTTTCTCCCTTTCATCATCGTCTTTTTTCCTTCTTCTCAAATTTCTCTCCTAATCTTTTTTTTTCTCCTTGTCCCTTTTCCCCCCTCTTTTTGTTATAGCCTTTGTATTTTCAACCTTTTGTCTTAAATGCTGTATTTAAGCCAACAAAAACAAGCTAATTTCAAAGCCCACTTCAATATGACCAATAAATGCTGATTTTTTTTAAAGCAGTGCATCTCCAGAATAAGGACCCTCCACATCAGGTGTCCAGATCATTGTAGCCTCTGCTAGCCCCTCCCCCAGTGAGAAGCTACTCACTTTTGGTTGCTTTGAGAAAAGCTTTCTGCTTTCCTCTTTTGTCCGTTTTGATGCTGTCTCCCTAGATCTTTTTTGCACATGTGCAGTAAAATGGACTGATCCAATGTAATTGAGACTCAAGATACACTTTCTTTAAGGCAGATTATTTGAATGAAAAAAATGTATGTGCACAAACAAGTATAACTGTATTAACCATATCTCCATGAAGAGTTTTATGGGGCCCTAGGCACCCGCCTAGTTTTGCCTGATCACAGTACATATCGCTGCATTGAAAGATTCTGCCTTACATGATTATTCAGCCCTTAAAAGCAGTAGTGAAGGGGTAGACAGACTCTGATCCTTTTTCAAATTAAACATAGTTTGCAGTTTTCTCTCCATGTAAGCCAATTGTAAGAAAACAAAACAATGTCAGTTTTTAAAACACACATTAGCTAGAATATATTTTTAATGATAAGCCATAATACTCATAACTTAAGAGTTATTGTGAGTCCTGTGGCTTGTCACAAGACTTTCTATGGTCCTGTCAGACTTTGCTGTTATTATACGGCTGCGCTGCTTTTGCTGATTTTTATTTTATTTTTTCCAATCTGGTGCATTATCCTGACACATCTCTACTGTGGTCATTTGTTCAAGCAGCAGTTTGTTTTTTGTTTTTTCCCCCAAGTGCAAAGATTGAACTAAGCTGCCCATTTTCTCTGTGGCAGAAGAGATTAACTATGTTGATTTCCATCCCATACTTATTCTGACCACGTTTCAAAGAGCATTCCTTGTGTTTAATGAAGCTGTACAGTATGAAATAATTTAAATAAAATAGAATGAGGGATTCAAAACTATACTGGATGGCTAACTAACCCTCTGATTTGTAAAAAAAAAAAAAAAAAACAAACAAACAAAACATGCTTCTCTCAGGGCAGTAAAACCTCATCTTGATAGGTTTACACAGTAGCTTATAATGTTAATATTTATTTACAGCTTCAGTTAGGCATTGGGACTTCTGTATTAAATCTGCGATTTAACCTTTTTGGCCCTAACTTCTCAGCAGCAGAACAATTTCCATACTGAGTTAGTGATGATTAACTGTAAATGTATTCTCTACCACACAATTAAATTTAAATCAGTTTATTTATATAGCGCCAATTCTCAACACATCATCTCAAAGCATTTTACAACTCAACCAGATCATAGTCAAACTGATACAGTTTTCTATCCAAGGAAATCAGCTGATTGCATCGACTCATTGACTCTTTAGCAATCCCTCACACTAATCATGCCTGTAGCGACAGTGGAGAGGAAAAACTCCCTTTTAACAGGAAGAAACCTCCAGCAGAACCAGGCTCAGTGTGAGCGGCCATCTGCTGACGCTGACTGGGGTTCAAAGAGACAGAAGCAGAGATACAAAAGGCAACCACACAGGTGTATTTATTAAGCTCCTACATTCAGTTTTAACTCCCATATGATACTTTGTTTCAACTCCGTCTAAAAAAGGATGTTTCCACGTTGTTGTGCATTAACCACATTTTCAAATCTGGTGAAGACCAACACATTTTTCTTTAAACATAAACCGTAACATTGAAGGTGGTTGTATTTCCCATTTTACTGAGTCTAATATGTCCCCAATGTCTAATTTCATCACTTTGTGTCTTGGAAACCAATTTTTACAGTATGTATATATTCAAAGGACATAATCAGTTGTCTTTATTAATATATAGATAACTCTTGTTGCATTTTGGGCTTTCTGTTGTCTCTGTAGAAACGCTTGCTACCTTGAAGCTCTCATTCATTGTTCTATTTTTCTAGATGTTTTATTAAAGTAACCCTTTTCAAATAAAAAAAGCAGCCTCCAACTGTCCCACACCTGACAGAAATATATAGACCACAGGCTTTTTTTGTTGGTGGTGAATTAAACATTTTATTAAAACTTTAATACATATAAGATTGAATATTCAATATGAGCATTTTCACACTAAATATGATTCACTTTAATGTTTAGTCATGCAACAAATGTTTTTGTAACATTCCTCACAGGAATATTAACAAGAATTTGCATCTACAGCCTTCGATAGTAATGACTAATAACCTGTAATTAGGTAGACATTCACTTAGAAAGGAAAGAGCTTAACTAAAGAGGTAGGAAGCTTGACCAGGCACTTTGGAGGTAAGATGAGTAAATGCATAAAAACAAAGTTTTTGGCCAGTTAGTCTGGAAGATGGAGAATATTAAATCAGATACAGAAACATCTGTTTCTAACATACAGATGTAGTTAGAGAAGAATGGGTCTCAGCTAAAATCTGAAATACTCTGTATTATTGACTGTATAAATTAATACAATTAGTATTGGAAAAAAAGAAATCCAAAGTGTAATTTAAACTCCAGGCAGTGAAAGACTGAAGCAAAGGTGTAAATAGTGATATTAGTCAGCATTGGTTATCAAGCCGCTTTAACAATGACTTTAAAGACAAAGATGCTTCTGCAGAGATAAACACTTGCTCTTCTCCAACCATCAAACACTTTCAATGCATCAAACAGGAAAACCCCAGAACCTGTTCACTCTCACACTTCCCCCCCCAGCAACATCTTCACGTAGAAATCCCTCCAGCTGCAGAACAAACTGATTTTTGGTTAACTGTGTTAAGCATTTTAACTCATAAGACGACTAACATGCATGCAGAACTGTCTTCTGAAAATAGAAAAAATGTTATTGTATTACAAAAAATATATATACTACATGAATGAAAAAAATTGATAGGTGAGATCTGACTCCAAAGGTTTACAGTGGGGTTTTTAATGAGGAGACAGCAGATCTTCCAGTGATAGGACGGCCCTTTGATGGCAGCAGCAGGTGTGATTGGGGCTCCCTGAACGATGTAAAGCACTTTGCATTCCGTACCAAATTAAAAGGCACTATTACCAGAAAGGTGAGAGCTTATGGCCCAGTCCCTTTGAAGGACCTATGAGGACAATCATAGGCCAAACAAGCTGCATATTGACAATCAGGTAGAAAAAGGCAGCAGATCTGAGGAGATTTTAAGTTACAAGCTAAAGTGTGGCTATGACAATGATGGACACAAAACCACAGTTTTATGTTTTGGAGGTGGATATCAACAGAAAGCATAGCGGCAGCGATCACGGAAAGAAAAAGAGACCACAAAGAGGAAAGAAGTGCATGAAAACACACAGAGACAGGAACTGATGAACTGATTTAACACAGAAACAAAGAGGAGGCTTGGAGCTCCAGGTCTTCGACCCCCCCCGATGATCCCTCCGGTTAACGCACACGTGGTGACTTTGCAGTAGCCTGGATCAGGAGTAAATTAGAAAAAATTCAGAGTTTGTTCAGTAAGAGAACTTATGGGTTTCTCACCGACTGCACTCTAGAGCACCTGTGATATATCGACTCCTGTGAGTTTCTCCAGAGCTTCTGGCACCCGGGTCATGATGTCCAGCACCTCTCCAGCAAGTTTGGCTGCTCCTACATCCGAGCCACCACTGGACACCATGGTGATCTTATGGGCCTTCGCCAATGGCTTGCTGATCTCCTCAGCCATCTGTGAAGTAAAGCGAAATGTTGGTTGTTAGGAATTTATCTAAAATAGGATTCTGACAAATGAAAACACCTTTAAAAATATAAAGAACCCTTTTAATAAAGAACTACTAAAGAATCACTAGAATTGTAAAAGGTTTATAGAGCATTAAAAGGTCCCTTAAAAATTGTCAAAAATCCAGTTCTGTAAAGGTTGATAATAAAGAAAACTACTTTTTTTTTTTTGAAATCGGAAACAGGGGTTAAGTTAGCAGGTGGAGATGTTTCCAGAGGGGCTAGGATAATGTTAGCTATCCTCTTTGTTATTTTTCATTAAATAAGCCAATGAGTCTCCATACAAGGGGGCTTTCCCTCTTTAGTAATGATAGGATGCTGGTAGCTTGCTAGCTCTGAGACTGACACACTTATTAGATGTTAAGACCTTTATCTAAGACTCTTCTAAAAATAATAGACGCAAGGACTACAGAGGTTTATAATTTGGGCCATAACATCTTTTCTTGGGAGTTTGCAACGTGTAGCTATAATTTGAATGAGGTTTTCCTTCTTTTTTTTTACCAAAAGGATGCAGGGATATCAGGTGGTGTTTTAAGGTCATTTTCATGATGCTCAGATTCCAGATAAAGCTGAACAAAATACTGCTCACTAAGCTAAAAAGGGAATATTTGTTTTTTTTAAATCAAAATGGTTAATTCATTTTTATATATTTCTTTTTATCTAAATGGTTAATTTATCAGTTTTATTTTCATTATATCATCAGAGAGAATTAAACTGACCAGAGGAAGTTTCTCCAGCAACATATCCACCATTGCTCCATCTTTGTACTGCTTAAAAGCCTCAGCCTTTTTGGCCATCTGCTCAGCCTCGGCGCGGCCTTTAGCCTCCAGAGCGAAAGCCTCGGCCTCACCCTTCATCTGCATGACACAAAAAATACAGACAACAGCTTAGCTTTACGTTGTAAAACTGGAAGCAACCTAATAAATAATACGAGGAAAATGAAATAAAGAGCAGTTTTTACTTTAATTGACTCTGCCTCAGCCTCAGCCTCCATGATAAGCTGCAGGCTGAACGAAAGTGGAAGGGAAACGGTAAGCATCTCACTTTAAATACCCGTTCCATAAAAACAACAAACTGTACCATAATTCTCACCGATAAGCCTCAGCAATCTTCTCCATTCGGTATTTCTCAGCTTCTGCTGGCTTCTTCACTTTAGCCTCCAGCTCCTTTTCTTTGCGGGTGATCTCCTGTTCCTGCAGGGTGATCTGCTGCGTACGCTCCACAACCTGAATCTGCATCTTCTCCTCCTCAATGCGCTGCTTGGTCTTGGCCACCTGATGGTGGATATTTAAATGTTGCTCAAGCAACAGAAGGTGATGAATGACCATACAAACAGCACTGGGGCTGTAGGTACCTGGAGCTGGTAGGCCATCTCCGACTCGGCCTTCTTGGAGTTCACCTCGATGTCGTAGGATGCTTTCTTCAGCTCGTAGTCTCTCTGAGCTTTTGCCATTTCAATCTCGTTCTTGTACTGAGCAGACACCTTCTCTTGCATTGCATGGGCCTCCTGTTTGCCCACAGCAGATCACAGGGAACAGATCATGAATACATTCCTCCAAAAATTCATCAAAAACTAAATTTGTCAACAGTTGTTTTTTTTACCCTGATAACAGCATCACGTTTATACTGGGCCTCTCCAATCCTGGCATCTTTCTGGACTTGGGCTGTTCGGGCTTTACCCAGAGAGTGGAGGTAATCCTGCAAAGCAGACAGAAGAAGAAAGAAAACAATGACAACCATCTAAATGACAGGAATAAGGCAAACGAGTCTAAAACTGCCTGGAAAACAATCATAAATACTTTCACATGAGATGATGTAAGGACTTTTGAAGAATCAAATCATTAACTTCCCGTTTTCCTTGGGTAGACGTGTGGTGGAGAGTTCTCCCTTCCTGTTTGCTTTGTTTGTTTATTGGCCAAACTCCAAAATCAGACAGACACTGATTAAAATTTGAACTCTAAATACTTTAGGTTCATGTTTATCTAGCTGACATGTGGGTCCAGTCCTCTACTGCCTATAGTTTTTCAATTTTCTACGGCTACAGCTGATTTCTATGCCTTGGATCATGAGAATAGTAGTCTTGTAAAAACATAAAACTTACACCAAATCGTCAGTAAGCATTACTTCACACAAAATAAATGAATACTACAAAATTGTTCAATGTTACTTTTAATTTAAAGCTCTTTATTTTTTTGTGATTAAAACACTGATGAGTAGACTGACATTTAAGTAGATTGGCGCTGATGCGTCTATAAGCCTGTAGCCTATTTCCCTGAATGTAATTTGAGTCAGAAGTTCCCGCGCTGTTTAGAGAATGTGGCGTCAAGCATGGCCATGTTAAATGGGTCCAACCTGTTAACATGCGTTATATTCAAGATGGATTTTGTGGATAATCAGATGAGACCTGCATCCAGCTCAACTCAGACACCAATGGCAGCTCAAGTTAAGGAGAAAAACAAAAGAAAACTATTCCTATTTAAGTACAAGAGTGTTTCTGTTGACCTTGTTCTCCTATGAAGGAATATTGTTGGAATATTGTTAAATCTCCCATTAAGGACCCTTTTGCCACACCAGGAATTTTAAAATAAAAAAGTGGGGGATAAAGCAAGTAGATCAAGACAAGTCATCATTGGGTGTTTTACAAAGGATAAAAATAAAAGGTCTGGCCAAATTAATACACAAAAGAGTTCAGAAGATTCAGTTAAACTAAGCTAAACTTGAGAAGCTCAGTTACAAGATTTAAATCCTTCAGAAAAAATTGCTATTGATAAAGGAAACTTGTGAATTATTTAGAGGAATAAGTGAAGATTCTTCTCTTTTCTCTAATTTAATGAAAAATTTGAAAAGATTCAGGGCTGACTTATTGCTAAACGAAGGGGAGAATTAATCTGACTTCTGCAATTAGGCAGAGAAGGAACGTTCTCCATAAACGCTTCTAGCGTTGAAGTTTCCCCGGCTAAAGATTAAGCTTTTTGTTTTATATCACTATGCTCCTACAGAGAGGTCACTTAGTCATCTAGATGGCAGTAGATTAGTCAAACCAAATAAAGAAAAGGTTTGGTTAAAATTGAAACACTCAGGCCTGAAAGAGGTTGAAAGCCAGTTGGGTCAAAATCAATCAAAGTCCTTTAGCTCCACTTAAACAGCGGAAACAAACTGAAGCTGAAAGCCTAAATTAGACTCACTATAACAACCGATTTCAGCTCCTTCCAGGAAACTACTAACCTGATCATCATGGACATCTTTAAGGGTGTAGCTGACAACCCCAATCCCCATGTTGACCAGATCAGAGGAGGCCACTTTGAAGACCTGCTCAGAGAACTTCTTACGGTCCTGGTATATCTCCTGCACAAAAGGTAAAACAAGAGAAAAATCCAGATAGATCATTCTGAGCAAAGTGACTTTAAAGTGAGGTGAAAATTTGCTGAAGGACCGACCTCGACAGTCAGGTGAGCAATGATGGCTCTCTGATGGCCCTCTAGCGTCTCAAGGGCAATCTGAGCGACCTCAGCCTCAGACTTTCCCATGAACATCTGACAGGCCGTCGCCAACATCTCCTTATTCTGACCCTGAATCTTCACCTGAAAAAAAAAAAGAGAATAAAAATCAAATCAAACAAGATGCTAAACTTAAGTTTTAATCGAACCTTTCTATCAAAGGAGTCTGATGTCCTCTGTGTTTCTAAATTTAACATGATAAAAACATGCATCCTCCTCCGTTTACAAAAAGCTAATCAATTAATTTATGATCCACCTTAGATGTTTTTTGATCTATCACTTGCTTTCCTGAACCTAACCCTTTTACTGTTCAAAAGTATCCTATTCCTTAAATATTGTTTTATGTGTTGTAACATTACAACCAAAAAATACCTCTTATTTAATCTAATTTTTTGGTGACGAATCAAGGCCGACATGCAACTATCCAAGTGGAATGAAAATCCAACGCGGTTTCTCAGGGTGTGATCCTTAGAAGGTTTTCATGTCTTAAAAACAGATACAGGAGCAGTTCCTCAAAGAGAATCCAAAGTGATTTGCATTCCTAATTCAGCAGACAGAGTGTGCAAGCATTTTTAGTACCATATTTTTTTAACTATGAGACGCTAATTTTTCGCAAGCTTTGAACCACGCGGTTTATAAGAAGATGCGGCTTTTGTGTGGACCTTTCCTCCCTAACCTGCAGGAGGGGAAGTCAAGGTTGGAAATTAAGGTATAAGGGGCTAATTTTCATTTAGCCGAGAATATGATAGCAGCAGGCAAAAACAAAGAACAAATGTCCCAAATTCAAACATTTTGACATTTATTTGTGCAATAAAGCTGCCGAACCAATGAAGAGATTGGACTTAGCTCCTGCAGAGCTGAAACAAAGAGCTGACGAAGCCCCATCTTTCAGTAGACAGTCTTACTGCTGCGCTGCCCACAGGTTTGGTGGGAGACGGTTCAGTAAATATATAGAAACATTTCCATTTTTTTTTTTGTTTAGTTGGCACGGCTTATAGTGAGGTGCTCTATAATCCAGGAAATACGGTATTAAATTCACAAATTTCAGGGCTCACCTGTGCAATCCCAGTGACTGAGATGGGGACACCATGGCGAGTGTAAACTTTATCACTCTTCACATTCAGAGTGAGGGTGTTCAGAGTGATTCTGGGAAAACAAATATCATCACAGTGAATAAGATAAACAAAAAGATCATTCTGATCATTTCTGTCCTCTTATTTATCTCCATTTATTTTACTGGAATCACTTATCTACACAGCCTGTAGTAAAATGAGACAGGGAAAAAAAGGTTTACCTCTGGATCTGCTGGATACAAGGGAAGACAAACACTCTTCCTCCAGCAATCATCAATGGTGGAGAACGGCCACAGCCTGGTGAGGGAGAATAAAAAAGGAGAAATTATATAACATAAAAATTAAAGGACATGAAACCAGCTGCTTAACGTCAAGAGAAAGCAAAATGAGTAAACAGTTCAGCTTCATATTTCAACACAAGGGGGGGATTAGTCACAGCATAGAAAAGAAAACTGGAAAATCCTCAGCCTGCTGCTTAAAAATCCAGTATCCAATTCTTAGGTCCCAATAAGCACAGAAGGCTTCAATTTTTACTACAAGGCATTTGTAAACACGGAGGCTATGTATCATTTATTTTTAACAAGATCCCAGCACCCTGAAAACTGGAGCACATTAGAGGACAGACTGCCTAAACATCCTGTGTCATTAAAGGAAAGAAGGAAGCATCCATTACCAGACACCACCATGGCTTCATTGGGTCCACATGTGTAAAACATCTCGATTCCTGAGGGAGTAAAATGTACATTTCTGATTAAAGAGGAAACACTTCAATAGTCAGCTACAAAAATAATTTAATCGGTTCGCAGTAATAAGCAGCTTCTTATAAGAGTATAAAGAATAGCATTTGGAAAAATTAAGATTAAAAAAAAAAAAAAAACTAAAAAGCTTCACAATGAGTTCCACATAACCAATAGATGGTGGGAACAGGATATAATAGATAACTCAGATCATCTAAAAGAAATAGAAAATAGATTATCCATCCATATTCTGTAACACTTATCCCAAGTGGGGTTGCTAGGGGTGCTGGTGCCTATCTCCAGCTGTCTACGGGTACACCATGGACAGGTCGCCAGTCCATCGCAGGGCAACACAGAGACAAAAAAACTATTCACACAAACACCTAAGGAGAATTTAGAGCAGCCAAACAACCTAACAGTCATGTTTTTGGACTGTTGGAGGAAGCCGGAGTACCCGGAGAGAACCCACACATGCTCAGGGAGAACATGCAAACTCCATGCAGAAAGGGACGGGAATCAAACACTGAACCTTCTTGCTGCAAGGCGGCAGTGCTTCACACTGCACCATTAAACAGATACACCATAAAAAAAAAAACGAACTCCACATGCTAATTAAAAACTTTTTTCAAGACTGCCCTCATAAAAATGTTATCTAAATTAAATCTAATTTGTTTAAATCAGTGTGTTTATCAGCTCCTACATCTGAAATGTAGCTTTAAAAACAGCTTCAACAACCAAAGTAGTTGGTTTCGCCAACTTTTAAGTGGTGTTTTTATGCCTTTAAATACTTTTAACGTCGATTTTTAGTGTTAAGTTTAATTCATTTGTTTCATATGAATAAATTATCAACTCAATTTTTAACCCATTGTGAAACTCAGCCATATATCTATAGGAAGAGCTAATAGTTAACTGTAACAACAGTGTAGCAAGACAGTAAGAAAGGTTACAAACATATCATTAACTACTTAACGTTTTTATTAAAAAATTTACTTTATTTCTAATATTATTCATTATAAGGACTGCTGCTAGGCCACAGCTATGGTGGGAACTGTGGTTTACAGAAGTCAACTCCAATCAAATGATCCATGTCTGTGTTTTTAACCGCCGCGGCTCCTCCCTCTTCCAGACAATCCCACCTAATAGCCTTCCTTACAATCCGTCATCTCCCTAAACAAAACCTGTGTCGGGTTTAAACAAGTCAGAGACAACAACAGCACGATACCAACTTAAACATGCCACATTTTATCTAAAATCCCGAAGCATAGAGAGCTTATTTTCACAACTAGGATAAGCTCGTCTTTACGACACAGATATGGACGCACTTTACTACAGAAAAAAAGCAGCACAGGATTAAAAAGACATCTTTATCTCTACTGGCAAGATAAACATCAACCTTTTTTTACCCTAATTGTTCCTATTTGGTTGATAGAAAGTAACAAACCTTTTCGGGGTGTAATTAAATCAGTTTCTTTCTGCTGCGAACAGCGTGTACTGCGATGACCGTCAGTTGGAGTCGGAGAAGAATGTCTGTTAAAAAAAAAAAGGAAGTGTGTTGTGACCACGCCCCATTTTCTCTGGCGCCATCTAGTGGTGCTACTTGGAACTGCACTGTTGAAATACAGGCCTATAGCAACAGTGGCGTTCCAACGTTTTTTATCCTAAAATGCTAAGCTGAAATTAATCAATCACAGAAATATATTGTTATTTCTGAAATAGAATGTAGTAATCTTATTATGTGTTTTCCCTGCAATTATTTCTTTTAAAGAAAAACTTTCCAGAACTCAGGTGGTACATTTTTTTTTATTTTTTTCTTTTATTAATTAATACAATTTTCTTTAATTGAAAAAAAAAATTTTTAGGAATGGGTACGTCCAAGTCTTTTGGACTGAAGATAGCATGATTGTGATCCTAATTATATGGTGGCCCTGAAGTGCAAACCAAATCAACAAATCTTTAAAGACGACCACACAACAACATATTCAGAAACTACAACAGTATATTAAAAAAGCAAAACAATATATTCAGAAACACAATCACATACTCAAAAACACAATGAAATTCACATGAAAAGATTACAAATAAAAAATACAACATGTTAAAAAACACAATGACATTAACTTTTAACAAATTCACAATGACGTTACAGTTTGTATGGACTGCTTTGACCTGTTTGAAGAAACTGGCAACCTCTAAGTCTTCATCCTCATCATCTCAGCACAGAAAAATACACCTTTTGCAAATGAGTTAACCCATTCTCGTTGGTTTGACACATTTTTCCCTACCTTTTGCGTAGCAGTTAAAACATATGTCATTTAAGAAGAGGCCCATACCACGAAGTTACCTAAACCTAGCTGGATTTCTTCCAGTCTATCCAGTTTAACCAATCCACAGCAATGGTAATCAGGATCAGCGGTACCACCATAGTGGTTATCAACTGGCTAACTCAGTCCAGCTTGAACTGATCAAAGAGCATTCCTCACAAAGATTTAAATTATAGAAGAAACAAAAAAAATAGATACAGAATATATGTCAAAAAGAAAGAAAAAATAAAATAAGTTAATAAATTGAAAACTATTCTATTTTTCAATATTATATTTATGTATGCATATGTGCTTTAACTTTTTTTTGTTTTCAAGTTCCTTTAATTTTGTTTAATTTAAGTTATTTTTCCCTCTGAATAAAATTGAGTCTTCAATTAAAGGACACATCATTGTTTTCTAAACAGCTGATTGGCCGCTGACTGGAGCGTGTTCTAGGATTCAGATCAGTCCTGAAAGCTAGCCTGCCTCTTAGCAGTTTTTGCCCTTCAGACTACATTACCACAGTGACTAACCTTGCTAAGAAGGAGTCCAACTTCGTGGTACCGGAAAGTCAGGGATAAACCTGAAGTTGTCTCACTAACCCAATAATCCTGCTTCGTGGTACAGACCTCTGTCCAAACTCCATTGTTTTAGCTGCGGCAGCCAAACAGAAACCACATGTTCCCACCTCTTAGAAACTTCTTGATCGATAAGAAATCTCTGAAGAACCTGTTTGACGCTTCCTCATAAAGCTTTTTAATTTGCAATGAGTCTACAGACCTTAAAATGTGCCATGCTGTGCATTGTTCTTTGCAAGCATTGATGGTCTAAGGCAGATGAGAATCAGAGTAAGGGGGAGAGCTTTCAGGGGGAGAGGAGTCAGAGGAGTCAGTGTGCGATTTTTTTTTTTTTTTTCCAGCATTTTATTGTCATTACTGTACACTGTCACATATACAGTGTAACGAAATTAACTCTGCATTTAACACATCCCCTTGGGGAGCAGTGGGCTGCCATTTACGGCACCCGGGGAGCAGTGTGGAGTTAAGGGTCTTGCTCAGAGAGCCAGGCCGCCACTCCCCCTATATATTTATATATCTATAGAGATATATAGTATCTCATGTAATTTTCCCACATTTCATGTATTCTGTATAGAATCGAAAGGCTGCCAGGTTGTGGTAGACGCAGATTTTTGAATGCTGAGCAGGAACCAGCCATTGTGAACCTATTTCTGGCAAACAATGCCATTAGGCCATGGTGATTACTGATCAGGGGTATTTAGAAATGAAAATACGGTGAGCAAGCACACAGTTAACTGCGTCCTCAGAAAGAACCATTTAGCCAAGAAACAGTTGTACATAGTTCAATTTCTGAGGAACGCTGATGCTGTGAAGGAGTCCAGATGAAAATATGTGGAGGTAAGGAGACATTACAGTACTATGCCCTTATGACTTGGCATATTATGCAGTTACTGTGAACCGTAATAATAATAATCATAATAATTGTAATTTTGCTTTATTTGTCCATAGCAGACCATTGAACTTGTAGCTGAGGAGGCACATCATGTTTCATATATGTTGATGAAGCTGGCTTTAACCTCTGTTGTGAGGAGATGTGAGAGGAACCGTATTGGGAATAGGACCACTCTTACAGTTCCAGGCCAACATAGCTATGTGTACTGCTATTTCCAATGATGGGGGCCTCTGCCATATTCCAGCCATTGGCCCCTACAATACTGGTCTCCTCACTGCATTTCTCAACACCCTCCATAACAGGCTCATACTGCCTTAGGAAAGAGGCCTCCTGAGGCCTGGCATGCCACTGTTTGTGTGAAACTGGGACAATGATGCATTCCATAACTCTCTTGTAGTGGATTAATAGTTTGTGGTGCAGCCTAGGATGATGGTGACATTTCTCCCTCCATACTCTCCATTTTTAAATCCTATTGAGTAATTCCTCAGTGCATGGAGATGGAAGATATATGATCACCACCCCTATGACCAGATGCCCTTGCTCATTGCAATGACCGCTGCTACCCAAGATATAGATGAAGAGGTATTTCAAGGATAGATCATGCATGCTAGAAGATTTTTTCCTAGGTGCATTGCAAGGGAAAACATTGAGTGTGATGTAGATGAGGCCATGTGGTCTGTTCGTCGACAGAATAGACTAGAAGAGACAGAAGAGCCCTGGAATTTTCTGTTGGAATATTTCATTCTTTTGTCACAATCTGAAAATAGAAATGATGAATACGATTCACACAGCAGATCTGATTCTGGATCTTTTTTTCTTTTTTTTTTTGCAGAAAGACAAATCTGACTACAAATGACACTGAAACGTAGGTCAGGTACTGTCATAGGCTACAATGACCAGAGATGCCGCACTGATTCAAAATGAGTGCGGTATTCTTCTGCCCCTTGTATAATGAGTGATTGGAAGTGCTCATACATTTGTGCACACGTTATTTTTTTAGGGAAAAATATGCTTTGGTTCCATATTTAAAAAGTTTTGGCAGAGCTAGAGCCTGTTGCAAACATAATTTGTCATGTTGAGCATTGGTGCCACTGTTTCGGCCTCTGCGTTAACTGTTTTGTGAAATGTGTGTTTTGAGTCGACTGCTGCATCAAAGCAATCAATAAAAACCATAAGCAGATGTGGAAACATTTCTGTAAACTGCTAAATCTACTGATGGCGTTTTGCGCCTAATTTCAAATCAAACTAAAATTAAACTCAAATATTGTGGTTGTAGTTCCAACCAGCAGATAACTTTATAGTATTTCTTCACATCTGTGCAGCCACAGTTTTCTTTGAATTAATTTGTTGAGTACCAAGATGAGCAGGTTTTCAATCACATGAACTCTAAACTGTACAACAAAAACTACCCAAACTTGCCTACATGTCTTTTATGGTATGAAAAATATTAACTTTTACTGACTGCGCACTTTATTGGCTGGAGGTGTCAGCTGCCTGCTGAGTAAGCAGTCTACCTCTTCCTCAAAGCCTGACCCATTTTCTTACATAATGTTTTCCTTTTCTAAATGAAAACAATGTAATAACAGTATTTGATTGTGCCAGCTTTGTTATATTTTTTGTCATAAGCAGGTAAAAAGTAGTTTTAATATGTTTTGAAGTGACAAAGATCACCTCGAAAACATTGTCTGTGCAAACAGCTCATCAAGATTACGATCCTGCCTTAAAATATTTTTTCGCTGTCTGAGCCGCTCAAACCCCCACATGCCGGCAGCGCTCTGTCACTGGGAATACAGCAGCAGCTGCCTTATGCCTGGTTGCCTATTGGGGTTTTCCCCCTACTGTTCGTGGCAGCTGGAAGTAGATGTTAGTATTTTTTCAGATATGTGTTACAAACTGCAGGTACCTTAATTATAAAGTGAACATATTTTGCCAGCAGGTTTCAACATTTTCAGTTAATGTAGGAATTAATAAACTATTTCAAGGAGTCATCATTTTGCCCTGCATCTCTTTGTCTGTCTCCCTGCCAGCTCCTAGATCAGCTTCTCTGATTGGTTGTTGTGGCGTGTCGAGCAGCAAAAGTTGTGCCTCAGATGCTCAGAAGTTCATGAGGTGCTGCTTCAGCTGTTCAGATCCGTTAAGATGTGCTGCTCCTCGAGAAGAGCCCCAGGACCTTCTGGTGCGCCTTGATGAGAGTCAACCATAGGCTTTGCATGTAGGCCGGCTGCTTCTGCAGCTGGTAGCATAACTGTTCAGGAGTACTTTTAAACACAGCTTCTACTCCTACACTTTTCTACAGTCACTTTTTGCATTGACACAGTTATTATTTCTGGTTGTAAGGAGTGGCTAGCCAAGGGTAGCACTTGCTTAGCACTGCTATGACTTCCCTCCTTGACTCCCCTGACTCTTTTATGACTCTCTCTTAATCTCCCTCTCCTCTCTCCTGCTCTCTGTGTCAGATGTTCAGTTATTTATGTGCCTCCTTTATTGATAATTGTACGTGTAATAGTATTTTTGTAGCTTTGGAGGCAGGGGTTTCAGAGTTTGAGTCCTGGCTTCAGGCTGCTGAACATCCAGGAGTTTGAGTAGGCTCACTAGTTAACAGCCTTTAGCCACCAAGACCAGGGACACATGTATGTACTGGTCCTCCAACAGTTCTTGATCAACCAAACGAGTGAGTGACAGTATGCAGAAAGTGTAGTCGTAGATCTCTGCACACTGGTCACCACCATCCTGTCCATGTTCCTCTCCAAGTGGAGAGGGCGGGTCTTTTCAAACT